AAGGAGACAGGGCTAGAGGCTCCATATGATGATGAATGTTAAGTTGGAAGTGTGTGAATCTCGCATACCTTATGTCAATACCATCATGTCCAAAATGTGGCAAAATATTCACAAAGGAGTCCAGTGTAGCTCGCCACCTTAGCCAGCCCCAAACCTCATGCCATAGCTCCATTTGCGATATGGTTGACATTTTGCAGTTTGCAGAGTTGGTTGAACCACATCGGCGATCCCTTGATCCTCTCTCTTCTCAGTTTCCTTCGGATCGTGACAGGGTTTTATATGATCCTGATCCTGGAGATGGAATGGATTTTGGCATTGGGGGAGACCACTTCGACACAGCGGGAGAGGAACCATCAAGTGCAGAGGAATGGTACAAGGGCGCAGGGACTTGTTACTCTCAGGACGGCACAACCTTCTTGGACATATTCGACACTGATGAGTATGCGGACTGCAGGAAAGATAATCTGTTTTATCCTTTTGCATCGAGGAACAAGTGGGAAGTCACTGATTTTCTTCTTCGGTCCTCCCTCAGTAGGGCGGCAATCAATGAATTTTTGGCACTCTCAATGGTATGTAATCTTTTGCGCTTGCACTTTTCCTTCTCCTTGCCCTCTTATTGACGATCGCCCTTGCAGATTCGCGAACTCAAACTATCTTTCAACAATGCTAAAGAATTACGAAGCCGTGCCGAGATGCTCCCCAAGGGACTGAGCTGGAAATGTCAGCTCATTACCTCACCCATAGCACGAAACACCTGATCCGACTATTCTGGAGGGATCCTGTTGAATGCTTAGAGAGTCTGTTCAGCAACCCCCTCTTCCATGACAAGCTTGACTTTGTCCCTCATCACATGTACACTACTGCAGCGCGGGTTCTGCATGTATATTTGGAGTGGCTGACAGGTGATTTTGCTTGGGATATCCAGGTACGTCTCTAAAATTTGCATCATCTCACCATAGGCTCTGCAGAACCAACTACCTAGAGGTGCTACAATCCTTGGGACTGTACTATCTTCCAACAAAACAAACATCACAACTATGACCGGTGCCAGGGTCGCTCATCCACTTCTTCTAGGCCTTGCAAATATCCGCATGTGCACTTGCACCAAACTCTCATCTAGGGCATTCCTACTTACAGCTCTCCTCCCTATCCCACAGTATTTGCACCCAAATCAACAGATGCAGGGCATGCTCGAAGACCGCCTCATACACGAGTGTCTTGTCACTGTCTTGAAACTGTTGATGATAGCAGTCAAGATTGGGATCATGATGTCAGATCCAGTGGGCAACATTTGTCATTGTTACACGCCTCTTGCAGCCTACATTGTCGACACCCCCGAGGCATGCATGCTTGCATGCGTGCATGGCAAAACTTCCCCGTTCACCATGGCATCATATCTCGAGTTCAGGGATGATTTTTGTCATCCCGAATGCACTCGCTCTGTCACATGTGAACAACTTGCGAACATCAAGGCCGACCCCAATAACCTTGAAGCTTTTTTTGAAGCATGCGCTGAATACCAGCTAAATGGTGTTCATGCACCTTTCTGGATGTACTGGCTGTATGCTGATCCCTCAGTCTTTCTGATGCCGGAATCTCTGCACCACTGGCATAAGGAATTTTTGGATCACGACCTTCACTGGTGTCTTGTAGCTGTTGGAGCACTGGAACTTGATTTTAGATTCTTGATTTTGCAGCCCATCACAGGCAACCACTACTTCTCTTGTGGAATCTCAAAGCTCAAGCAAGTCACAGGGAGAGTTCACCATGATGTTCAGCACTACATCATTGGTTTAATTGCTAGTACATGGATGCTGAACTCTGGAGGTACCACAAGAAAAAGATCAAAATGGATAAAGGTAAGTGTTTATCGCACCACCAGACTTCCTCAAATCTCATTATTTTTCAAGGTTATTTCCCGGAGTACAAAGCTCAAATGTCTCGAGTGGTAAGCATCTCATTAACTGATGATCAGCGCACTTATTTTATCATCAGCTCTGTGATGATTTGTTTACATTCCACACAGAGCTGAAGAAAGTCATCATACCCATTGCGAAATCAGCATATGACATCTTCCCAAAGGGCACAGTCACACACAAGGAGGATATACAGAAGCACATCATCACAGCCGCCACTAAGCTCCTCAAGACTGGTGGTTACCTTCGTGTTCCTGACTTGTCCAACATATGTGATCACTTCTCGCAATGTGGCTGCTCACTGTTTATTTTTTCTAGGGCAAATGGAAAAATTTTGTGTCGCAAGCTCTCATGGATGGCTGCCTTGCATTTTATAATAGCAATAGCAAGAAGGCACTCAAAAATACAGACAAATTTCACTGCACAATCCTGACGAATGCGCTTATTCTCATGGCTGCTGTGGTATGCTGTGATTTATTTTATTTTCTGTCACTAATCAGTTAATAGATGAAGGGTGTCATCTCTGGGTTTTCTGAAACTGGTACGAACAAAGTACCTGACCTCTCCACTGAAAAATGTAGGAACAACTTTAACTCGTTGCAGAAGTCTCTCGACAAACTGATGGACATTCCTGAACATTGTGATGAGCTTGAAGATATGCTGGCGCTGTGGGCTCGTATTGGGATGGGTGAGCTTCTTCATGGCGACTTGAGTGCAGGAGGCAGTGATTTGGAGGATATCAACATCATTTTATAATCTTGCATACTAGTTAGTACTCATGTTTTACGATCTACGACAATCAGCACAATTTATGCTTCCGGTACAAGCTTGCATGGTGTCCTACAAATTACATAAACTTATACAGCATGTCTCGTCTGCAACATGTGTCTCGTCTGCAGACTCCGCACAGTGTGTTCTGTTTGTCAGTATTGTGGTGCTTGTATGAGTTGTGAATCTTGTGATGCTTGTACAGTCTGTGATAGCTTGTACTACCTTGTGACAAGACTGTAAAGAGGGGACTTCCTTGTGTGCCTGTGAACCTTGTACAACCTTGTACAAGTACCCACTAGTTTGCTGATGAAGGATATTACATCTGCAATGAATCTTTTTCGAGTGAATGATTTTAAACTACAACTTCTTGAGACTGGTGTAAATGGGCCATCACTAATGTATGAGGGGGCCAAACAGTAAGTTCCCTGTCAGATGGAGGAGCTATCTCGCCAATATTTCAAATACATACATATAAAATCACCCTTTAGAGCGCACAAATATGAAATCGCTGTGATATATGATGCTGCATGCATTATCTGCCACTCATTAAAGGCTTGCAGTTCAAGATGTGAATCATGAATCACTCTCCTTGTGTTCTATTCCCTGAGTCAATGGAACATATGGTGAGCTTTGTCTTGTCTGTATTTCCTAGTTTCATAATAATAAGCCATCACAAATGGATATTGGCGCCAAATGGTAAAATGGTCATTGGGTGAACAAACTTTATAGCTGAGATCTCAAAAGCACACATATGAAATCTCTCCCTTTGAAGCACATAAATACAGAATCGTGATATGTGTGACACCACGCGCATTATCTTCTGGTCATTGAATGCTTGCAGTTCGAGGTGCAAAAGATGGATCACTCCCCTTATGTTCCACACACTGAGTCCATGAAGTAGAGGATGTGCTTTGTACTTCTCCGTGTTTTTTTATTTTCGCAATAATGTGCTGTAGAAAGCTGATTTCTGCTGGGCTCAGCAGAAATTGTACTACCTAGACAACAAATATTTAGGTAGATCTTAGCACAACCTATGCTGCTATACTTGCAGAGCAAGTGCATTCGATCCTAAAGGGATTGCTAATTGGTATTAGTAGTAAAAATGTGTCAGTAAAGCAAATAACAAAATGTCCAGTGGTGCGAAACGATGTCCGAAGGTAATCCGATGATGTCCGAAGGTACTTATCCAATGTCTGAAGCCAAAGTGCAATGTCCGAGATTTTGGACTTTCAGACTTCACAATAATGAGTCAGAAACTTTATAACGAGTGTCGGTTTGCGAGCGGTATGCGTGATGTAACGATGGTCGCGGCACTGGGCTCAAAACCAGGAAATCCAATACCTATGTTTATACCATTCCTCGACCTCCCTTGACCTTCCGAAGGCCGCGCGCACTTGTCCGAACCTTCCGCAGGCAGTTCTCGTGTTCCGAGACCCATCCGAACCTCGCAAGTTACCATACCATGTCCTATCCTCGTCCTTTTGACTTCGCTGGTGCATTTTCCTTTATTCTAACTATATATTGACTACATCTTAGTGCTACACGGATAACAATCCCATCGGCATCCTGTCGGGAGTCTCAGAATATGTATAAGCAGTACGCATTTGCGGCTTATTACATGTATACTTGCATTCTTGCACGCCTCGCGGCTTATTACATAGGTTCAGACTTGCTTATCTCGCTACTAGTTTCGCCTACAAATTCCGGCCTCTCACGGAAGTAGGATATAATCTCGCTCGCTGGCTACTGATAGGACACTTCACTTCCCGTACTTCGAGTAGTAATTAGTAGAGTCACCTCGGTATAATCGTAAACTGTGCAATTGATCCTTGTTCATTTGGAACGGTTGTCTGGCTAAGACCACTGCCAATTTCACACTTCATTTATTCTCGAGTCCCAATAGATTAGCGTCGTTCCGACCTTCGGACATTGCACAAAGTCTTATACTGTTATTCGACACACCGACATATATAGACCTTCGGACAGCCTTCGCAAGCCTCGGAAGGCATCACGCTACTTCGGACAACACTTTCGCAGCCTCGGACAACCTTCAGTCGCATCGGGCAAGTTTCTCGGTACTTCGGAAGTAGTCTCGGAACTACGGACGAGCATTAAAGAGGTTTTCTTCCAATATCTTGTCTACTCTCTAACTGTATAAGACTTCCCTTGCATTATCAAGGTAGTTCTTAGGTTGTCTCTTGGGACGAAGCATACTCCCACCTCTCAGGACTAGGGACTCACATTCAGTAGAGCCCAGCCCAGATCTACTCTTTACAGCAAGTATAACGAGTGACAGAGTATGACGGTGAATGAATGGTAATATTTTGCAATGCAACTAAGAACTACGAGAATATTCTGGGTGATCCGCAGAGTCGGGAAACAGCTCCCAACTACTGGATGATGATTGCTACAGGTCACTACAGAGTATTTAAGTAAGTACGTAGAAATACAGAAAACTACAGGCGAAGATAGTAGTGATATATTTCGGGTCTGATGTCCTATGTAATAAGACACAAGGTGCTGCGGACATGTAATAATGTGGTACAAATGTCAGAAAATGTGCACGGGAATAACTACACACCTAGTGAGGCTAGTTCAGATGGACAGGACACGGGATGGACAAGTGCGCGCGAAGTGCGATCGGCCGATGCGATGTCCGAAGGTCCGATGCGCCAGATCCAATATGGAGTGGCTCGGACATGTGCGAAAGTGCATCGGACATATGCGCATATGTTTTGGGTGTTGATGTGAGTATGGAAATACGTGGTTTTGAGCCCAACACCACAACCATTGCTACAGTGCTGTCATACATCAATGTTGGTGCCGATTAGTAAGATAGTTGTCGAAAGGACAAATTGTATAGCTGAGATTACACATTCGAGGCAGAATATGACTTGACTGTTGCTTGCTCGTTGACATGCTCCGGTAGCTGTGCCAATGTAGTGTTTCTTCCCATGGATTTTGAAGTGCAATATATAATATGATCATTGCACACTTACATAAGGTTGAATGGCAACTTGAAGTTGAATATAGGTTGATTGTTGTTTGCTTGCTGAAAACCTGAACACATCTTTGCATGGATCCCCAACTGCAGTTTACAATACCACTATTAGATCATTGAAGAAAATACCATCAAAATTTCAAGTAGCACACACTTTGATTGTCACTTGCTTTGGTGAGCACATAGTTGTCCTCTGGAAGATGTTGGTGCTTTGGGACCACCCTGGACATTGACCAGTAATTGATGAATATCCCCACATTTCGAACAAGTGGTATCAATGTAAAAGTAAAGTGAACATTTTTGTGATTCACTCCATGAATGTACCTCAGCTACTGTACAAACTTGATGTTTCTTTACACGGATAGCCAACCACATCACACAAGACAATTCTTAGATAACTGATCAAGATGGCATTAAATTTTTGAGAGCGACGGAGAGTGATATCATCGTTACTTGCTTATCGCCAGTTTGTTCTCTCGAAAGATTCCAGGTTCCATGCTTAACTTTGACATTTTGTACTTTGCTTGCTACGTGGCTATTAGTGCTGTCGTGGTCCGGTTCGGTCTGGTTCAGAGGGTCTTTGACAAGAACCGAGAACCAGACCATTGAGAACAGTTCTCAATGGTCCAGTTCAGTTTTTTTGTGGTCTGAACTTGAACTGAACCAAAAAATTTTCTGTAGGGACAGCAAAAAAAAATTGATGAAATACTAGTCTACACATTGAGTAACTACTCTAATAACATTTGTGTGTACTCCTCTGCCTCCGTAGCTGCTGAAAGATGTCCATTATGGTAAGCAGCCTTCATGAAAATGATCGGCCATGCGAACTCACTCCCAGGGGACTGGATTGGGGAGCAGCCACCAAAAACGCGAATAAAGGGCAAGTCTGTTTTGCGGCATCGGCAACAGTTGTGGTAGGGGAAGGTGCAGCAGTAGGCTTTTAGATTGTGCTCACAGGCTTCTTGCCAAAGTCAAACTTCAGCGGTGCAGGTGTGGATGGGGCAGAAGTTGGGGCAGCATTGCTTGAAGTGGTACTAAATATTGATGGTGGGTTAGCTTGTGTCGATGTAGATGTTGGCATCGAGGAAGGTAGTACACTGGGTTGGTTTTGCGAAGGGGAATGGTGCTGGTTTGCTGGTTTCCGTGCTTGATGCTGCAGGTGCAGGCGTCGACGGTGCAATTGGCTTAGCAAAAAAGTCCGGAGGGTGTAGATGACGTGGTAGGTGCAGTGGTGGTGGTTATTTGTGGAGTAGACGAGGTAGGGAATAGGCTGGGTTTATTGGCAACAGAAGCTGAGGGTACCTGAAGTGTAAGGTTAGTATCAAGTCAAAAACTTCCAAACAATTTGAATGAGACAGTTGATAGGAAGACAGCTTTTGCCAGTGACAAAAAGGACACACACACATAATTATAGAGCCTGACTCAAATGAGATTTTTTTTAAAAAAAATTAAATTCAGATGCACATACCTGTAATTTGTGGGTGGACAACAGCAAGATGGAGCTGAGTGATGGTTCAGTCCGGATGATTGGTGGGACGCAAATCAAAGGTGCCTTGAAAAAGAGAGATAGAAAGTCATGTGAGAAATTGATTGATTAGTACTTACCTTGAAAAGGCTGAAGGTAGCCTGATTAACCAATAGTGCAAATCCCGAAGACAGCAGTTTGATGTGGAGACCGACTTTGTCGCAGTCGCACTCGAAGTCAAAGTCGATAATGGTTCGGAATGGTTCGGCAAGGCCGAACCAGAACGGGACCGTTCGGGAAGACCTAGAACCGAGAACCGTTTTCCGGTCCGGTTCTGGCTGGTGTGAGAACCGTGGACCGAACCGCAGAGAACCGGACCAAAAGTCCGGTTCGAACCATAGTTCTGGACCGGACCGCGACAGCACTAGCCAGTGGCTATTAGAATTCATCCAGTTTGAGTATCTGACTTCGCTCTATTTTTCCTTGAAGCTTGATTTTGAGGGTTGCGGGGGTCTTTTCCTGATCACAGACTTATGCGGAGAAATCAGGAACTCTCCGTGCCTCTATAAGGTCAAACATGCCATTGTAACGATTGGTGGCAGAATTATGTAGATGCTTGTGATTGCGTACTATATATTGATATACATGACATTCTAATTTGTCCCTCAGTTCACTGATGCAAAGTGGAAGCAAAATGTATTTTTCATGTCACGCGCTCGGGTGAATACATTATCGTGGTCGGGAAGACATGGACTTTCACTCTTACAAGTAAAATTGTCGTGAAAGTGACGGAAAATTGGCTTGTCAAGGAAATACATCCAGATTTAACAGAAGACACACATGTATGTCTTCCGCTGAAGTTAACACATCCTTGTACCCTTGAAAGCTACGGGTTTTCAGTCTTAGCTTGGATATTGTGAACCTTACCAGCAGTATGACACTTTTGATTCATGTCGGTCAACCATTAGCTTTTGTTCCACCTTCCCTCCAATTTTCAGTTCGAGCGATATTGGCACTGTTTCCTGATCTTCAAGTTTCATAGAGAAATTAAAAAACCTCCTTTCCTCTACAAGGACAAAGATGACGATACAATCCTCGATAACAGAATTATACTAATTATTGTGTTTATGTACTATATACTGCGATATATGGCCTTCTACTTTCTTCACCGGTTCGCTGATGATGATATTGCCACCAATTTTCGATGTTTTACCCCAGATCGATCAACTGTCATGCATGTCATGCTCTGTTCATTTTTCCCGTTGTGGTCTAGGTCTTACACGCCCATTTGCAGCACGACGATGCTCCGGACAATGGCTTGATTCGTGATGAATATTATGTTCCTCATTCATTCAATTTCTAGTCTTAGCCACAGGTGACAGGGCAACTTATGGTTGGAGAGTATGAAATTGACCGGTTGCATCGTTTCTTGTATATCACCTTCGAGGACATTCCGTGGGTATAGATCGTCTCATGTCAGATTCATACTCTTGGATCATTGATATCAATAACACCAAAAACGCATGCCGCTACAATATCTCTAGCGTCTTGACCATGTCCGGAATAGAAGAAAGGTCTTGGACTTGTGCAATAATAGCATGATCTGACGCGATTCTCTTGTATTCTCCGCCGCGCTGCTGCGCTAGCAAAAATGCTCCAAAAGGCTGTCCAAGGCGAGCAGCTAATTGCAAGGCTCGATCGCTCAGTTCTGGATCAACCAACTCTTGTGCTCCAGGGAACCCGCCAGAGGAATTCTGTAATGGAGACCCGGGTGCAGACCAATAATCATCCTCACTCTGCGTATCGTCGACAATGTCAGGCAGCTCTGCCAAGCCAGACTGCTCCGCGAAGTCAGGAAGCCCGAGGAGAAACCGATTCCACGGACGAACAAGCAAGAATGTCTGCATCGTGAGTCGTGGCGATGAGAACTGATTCAATTTGTCCTCCGTGGTGATCAGCAGGTCGTGAAGCCCTTCAGCCTTCACTTCATATATATCCTGGTCTTCGGCACGACTCCGTTTGACTGCTGTGACACGAAATGCAAGGCAAGGCAGATGCAGTCTGCAGTTAGCGAAACGAGGCGCGTTCAGGTCGTCGAGCAGGACATAAAGTTTCAAGGCCAAATCCACAGCCGGGACATGTCCGAGCGTAGAGATTGACGTCTGAATGTCATTTTCGGACAAAGATGGCAGGGTGTATGGTGGAGCTTTGTATGATGTAATGTCGGCCGGTAGACAGCTATTGAATTCGGATGATTGCCCCACCCAGTCCAGGGCGCTGATGTCGCCCGATTGAGCTACGATCTCCTGCAAGAGCCTCCCCAGTGCGTTATGCTTCTTCTCACCATACATGACAGGAAGCCGAACACCAAAAATACCAAATAATGAGTACGCGATGTCTTCCTGCACTGTGGTGACACGCGTCGACACCCACTGAAGTTTCTCGCGGGCGTTTATCATTCCAGGACGGAATGCGACAAGGGCTTGTGCATCTATCCCTGTCGCACCCTCTAACTCCTGCATGATCGCGACAGACTGCTTGTGGTTGGGAGAGTGGTCGTCGAGATACGGGGTCCAATCGCTTTGGTAGAAGCGGACGACTTTTGGAGCGAGGAATTCAGGTACGGTCCATCCTCTCGTGTTCCATGCGCTCCTTGCCAACGCACCTTGTTTTGACGATGGCGGAACATCTGATAGGTAGACCATCGTGAGCGCTGAGGCGCGATACCAGTCGAACATGGAATTGAGTGATGTTTGGAGTTCGACGTTATTGGCCTGGTCTATGCAACAGGAATCAATCCACCCCCAGCGATACCCCGCAGCACGAGCAGTTTTACAGAAAGACTGCAACTTCATGATGCCCCCAACTGAATTCAACTCATCAACGACCTTGTCCTGGACGTCGTGCAGCAGCGGTTCATTCCCTTCCCACCGATGCGATAGCGTGACACAACAGAAGTACGTCGCCACGACATCTTTAATGCGCTCCATTCGGAGTTCTGCGTGCATCAATGTCGATGACAAAAGCTCCTTGTACTCTGTGCTCGTTTTGAAGGCACCAATCTGTGCCTGTCGATCGCATAAGCACCCAGTAAGGGTATTCAGCATACGATGCGGGGCGTCATCGAGGTGATCCTTGATGGTCTGTTGAATAGCTCCTTCCGCTTTAGATGGATTAAGGTATTGTTGGCGCAGCCCTGAAAAAAGAGTCAAGCATGTTCAAGGCTGTGCTTATTTGGGACCGTACTGTGCGTTTGTGTGTCAGCAGCATTTTCCAACTTGGAGAGCATGGTTTGGAATGCGTCGATTGCTTCGTCATATCGGTGTGCGCCGTGAAGTACTGCATGCTTCAACTGATATCCAAAGTAAGATGAGGGGTCAAGTTCGATCACCTGTGTATCACCGAAATGAGTGTTGGATACGAAACGGTAGCTGTCATCACACCTTCTCTGCATCAAGGAGTGCATCGTCCCATAGCATTTTTCCCGACCTCGCCTTACTACGGTTCGCAAAAATTGTACCGGTTGCCAAATCGAGGTCGATCGCCGTAGAGTAGAGCTCGATAGCTCTGTCATAATCGCCTGCAGCGAGGGCAGTATCTCCGCTCGCAGTGAGGTCAGCCACTCCAGCGGCAGCATAGAGCACGCTGCAATCTTGCTTAAAAACTAAGTGAAAGTGAGGTTACTACTTATACTTGGTGGACGTCATGAAGACTTGCCGGTGGACCAATCAAGGCATCGTGCCTTCGTAGCCTCATCAGCCTTATCCATCATGTATCGG